GTGAGTAGGGGGGGGGGCTTATGTGCTCTTTCCTCCCTTAATTTTACCTCCCATATATATGTGTGTGTGTGTGTGTGTGTGTGTGTGTGTGTGTGTATGTGTGTGTGTGTGTGTGTGTGTGTGTGTGTGCGTGTGTGTGTGTGTGTGTGTGTGTGTGTGTGTGTGTGTGTGTGTGTGTGTGTGTGTGTGTGTATGTGTGTGTGTGTGTGTGCATACATATACATACACATACATATACATATATATACATATATATATTTACACACACACACACACACACACGCATATATGTATGCATACACACACACACACACACACACACACACACACACACACATATATATATATATATATATATATATATATATATATATATATATATATATATATATATAAACGCAATGTATATATACATATACATATATATACATACATATATACGCATCCATGACCCCCCATCTCCTCCTTCTCCTCCCCCTCTTCCTCCTCCTCTTCCTTTTCCTTACCCCTCCTCCTTCTCCTCCCCCTCCTCCACCCCTCCTCCTGCTCCCCCTCCCCCTCCCCCTCCTTCCTCCAGATACCCACTACGGGGGGGGTGACCAACTGCCAAGTGTGCCATGGATGTAATGACTAAGCGATTTATTGTTATTAATGGAATATAATAATGTATATAATAAATCATATCAATGAGAGACATGATAATTGATAATAATATATATACTGAATGATAATATATGATAAAAATTATATTTATAATAAAACAGATTAAAAGTAACATAGGACGGACATGGCGAGTGCGTATGTGTGTTTCTACGCGAAGCAATTTTTATTCCTTGTGTAGAAATATAGATGACTGTACACTTCCATACGCATATATTTCTTGTCTAAATATGCATCAAAACTACATATATGAAATGTTTAAATCATGCTGTTGACTGAAGCAGATTTCCTGAGTAAACAAGAAACACTTGCATTACAGTCTTGGTCTTTGTCCCAGTGCAAACAACGCGAGTATGGGGGCGGTTGGTAGGGGTGGGGGGGGATGACGTCATCAAGGGCGTCTCCTCCTCCCTAATTCCTCGGCATGTAGGCTATTATTTTTGCATAACGTAGTCCTCTTTCTTCTTCTCCTCCTTCTTCTCTTTCTCCGTCTCCTTCTTCTGCTTCTTCTCCTTCTCCGTCTCCTTCTTCTTTTTCTTCTCCTTCTCCGTCTCCTTCTTCTCCTCCTTGCTTTCTTCTTCTTTTTCTTCTTCACTTTCTTTTTCGCAACTCCGCGTTCGAAACTGTTCGTCTAACTCAGACGGACAAGTTGTTTTCGTCCGAAACCCTCCATTCCTTTCAGTGCTAAGCAAGTAAACAAACAAGGTGGACGTCTCGATCTGCTTTTGTTGTCATCTATCGTTTTTTTTTTGTGTGGAAGGTTTGGACTGGAACTGTATGCATGACCTCCTGCTAAACATCACAGTGAATCTCTTTTTATCTATGACTAGAGGATAAATATTTTCACAAATTTGTTTAGCTTGTTGTAATTCAATGAACTCAGGTGGATAACAAATACACGCTTAATTCTAACTTATTCTTGGATTCGAGCTGAAGTCACATGCTTTTTATTTGTGAATGCGCGCGCAGCTGCAGTGAAAACAGTTCGTCGCTTCTCATTAGAATCACTGCATTGAGCACTGTATCAGAGGAGGAAATCTTTTGAATTTTTCTCTTCCTTCGAGACACTGTTGCTACCTTCTCTTCTCTTCTCTTCTTTGCTGATTCAAACCGCTTCATTTTCTCTTGCTCTCTTTTAGCAACTTTTTGCGTGTACACAAAAATGGAAGGGACATAGTCTGGATGACTTGGATCCTTCTTCATTGGCTTCCCTGAAAAAAATACTCTTCTTTATTCCGTTCAGATGCCAAAAATAATGCCTCAGACGACAAAATTGGGGAAGGGGAGTTTGATAAGAATAATCACATGACATTAAGAATCCAGGGCCATGAAACCAATTTACCCTTGGCCTAAGGTAAGTTTTCATATGGTTATTGTTAGTTCTCCAAGGCTCAGAACCTTGGTAGTTGGAATACCTTTATAAGTAAATTTTGATTTTTAGCATCAAAAGCTCGATTCTTAGCTGTAATGAAGTGGTTTCCACAAAGGTAAACGTTCCTGCCCTTAGGCCTCTTTGGCGTTTGCATGCGTTTATCCATTTTTCCCGAAGCTCTTGGTCAGTATTAGGAAAACGGAAGAATCCAGGCTTGTTTTCCATTTTATCATGGCTCATGCAGCCATATGCAGCACAACTAAAAGGCATTTCGAAAAGCAAAACTTGCGGCTAATTCCAAACGAGGAAGAGTACAACAGCTTCAGTGAGGAATGTTTTCACTGCCGTTGTCGTTGTGTAGCAACTATGATCGCATGCGCCGCGCATCTCGAATCCGAGAATTCTTTGATATATTTACTCTTATGAGGCGCTACTGAAAGAAGTCCGCCATCTTCTGTGTCAACAATAACTGATTTCTTGGTCGGCGTTAACATATATTTTTTCGTCTGCAATGCGATGTTTTGAAGCCTTATATGTTGAATTTATTATTCATTTATACTCCCTTATGATTTTTTAATCAAATTTTCGTCATTCAGTCTTTGTAATATCTTTCAGAAGTGTTAAAACAGAACAGATCGAGAACAGTATCGCGAATTAATCTCTTCTTTCATTATTTATTTTATTTTTCTTTATTTATTCACCGAAGTATGAAAATTTAATAAAGTAAAGTTCCCGGTCACCCTAAGCAGTGCCGGGCCGCGTGGAAACAAGTACAAATCCCTCCACAATGAATGAAAATGGTACTGTTGAGAACATATCTGTTCCACTGAATCCACGCGTACGCTCCGCTTTGCTGAGGGAGTCGATACCATTGCATCGTCTGTACATAGTGCTGCCCCGTTTCTATACGCAGAATGACCGATTTTCGACCGTAAGGCGTGATCTCAGGGCACTTTGCTCGAACGAACCGTAACCCTACAGAGACCCTCCTATTCGGACCATGCGCTTTCTGTGTGCGCCAAAGTGTTCACTGTCTAAATTACGTCTAAATGACTATATATGTATGTATGTAGAATCATAAATATTTAATGAATGCTTCGAAAGGCGCTTTTTCTCGATTTGTTTTCCTGACAGATATAGTTTATTCTGTCAACACTGAGTAAAAAATACACAGTACCTTGTCGTCGATTCGTAAATGATTAAGAAAGGGAAGGGGAAATGGAGGCAAGAGACGGTAATATCACACGTCAATACGGTCGAAATTCATTACAGCAGTTATTATGTAGGAATGGGAATCTGCGTATATGCATTCGAACAAGAAATTTTCTTATTCATTTCACTTCATGCACCATAATATCGACCGACAAAAACGCTTAGAAATAGTCTCAAGTGTTTCTTCAGCGCCAAGATTTATGTATTTATGCAATACCCTTTTTACCATCTGAGATAAAACTCGCACCCCTATACGGCCGGGGGGGGGGGGGGTCACGAACTTCCCGAGCCAGCTGCATGCCCGCAGGGTGTGGCATGCACTGTGCCTACAAACCTTCGTTGTTTCGTGTTAATCAAACTGCTATTTGCAGAGTGCGTCTAACACTCAATGTTAATAAATCCTGCTATATGATCTTCAGCACAACGAAAAAGAGCCAACCTATATTCCACATATTTCAAATAATAAAAGGGTAAAAAAAATCAACCAGTGTACCATTCCTCTGACGTCATTCTAGCCAATAAATGCACGAGGAGCAATCACATCACTTCCATACGAAAGAAAATCAGGAAACACTGTGGCATTTTTTCATCTAGTACGAAATTTTCTCACAAATAAATGTTTAAAGCTGTTCTATTACTCACTAATTTATCCACAGCTCGCATATTGTCACGTTGCCTGGGGAGGATGCCACGAAACAGAACCAAATGTATACTAACACACGAAAACAGAATAAACAGATCAACGTGTGCGTGCGTGCGTGTGTGTGTGTGTGTGTGTGTGTGTGTGTGTGTGTGTGTGTGTGTGTGTGTGCTTATTTATTTGAGGGTAGATTATGAGACAGATTACTCTCCAGGCGTGTATTTTTGGCAAAAAATCTTATACAGGTACAGAATTAACTTACAGTAATTATTTACGAATTTATTATTACATAGTGTAATTTCATTTGTAAATCATGAGGACAAGGATTATTATTTTCTAAGGCTTCAAGAAGAAAAAAAAACGAACAAAAAGTAGGCTATCCATAATACTATAAAAAAACAAACAAACTGGGATTGTACTATGAAAAGTTATCTGAGGGACTATGGCATAATGCACGCCATGGCAGAAGGTGTACTGCGGATATTTTGTCCTCATTTCTGGCAGAGTGGAGCCGCGGCGCCGTTGCAGCGGAAGTCATGCAAGTAATAATTGTCGCGTTTGTACAGGCCAGCGCAGTTCTGGGAGCTTCCTCCGTCGGGTGCCGCTTTGTAGCTGCAAGAGGTGCCAAGCGTTAGCGAAAAGGTTTGGAAAGGGATGTATATTGTGTGCGTGTGAGAGTGTGTGTGTGTTCTCAAGGCCTGTCCACGCAGACGGGCAAGGGCGGCGGGCACATCCGCGGGCCACGAGGAAACTACTTGTTTACTGAGTAGTTTATCAGTCTGTGACGTCATATATATTTGTGCCCCCCGATCATGCCCGCCGGTGTGGACGGACCTTAACATAGCTTTTTCCATTCAAATCATTTATTTTACGATCAGTCAACTGTTTATACACACACACACACACACAAACAAACACACACACACACACACACAAACAAACACACACACACACACACACAAACAAACACACACACATACACACACACACACACACACAAACAAACACACACACATACACACACACACACACACACACACACACACACACACACACACACACATACACACACACGCACACACACACACAAACAAACACACAAACAAACACACACAC